AAGCCAATTTTGGAAATCAATTTCAGGTAAGAAGTTTGGTACAAACTGACAGATAGCATCATAAGCGTGTGTTATAAAACAGAAACAGGGCTAGTTCAGAAGATCCAGGAAAACCAGAGCAAAATGAATCCAAGTAAGAGAAGAGTCAAGATAGTGAGGAATGGCTGAGGATAGTATTTAACTCAGAAGAAGAGGAAATACAGGCAGAGGGGTAGAGAACCCACAAAATGCAGCATTTGGCTTCTTTGGTATTTTCTATGAGGGACTCAGCAAATGTCAAGAGATTGTTACAGGGTGCAGCCTAGAGGGGGAACCCCAAATGGGCATTTGAAATGGGTCCAGAACTTAAGGTGTCCAGATTTTAAGATGTCTCCAACTCACCCCCCTCCACGGTGTGGGTTGGGGGAAGGGACAAATGGAGCGGGGCCATTGAGATCTGTTTTGCATAGCAACAGCCTTGCAGCTACCCTCTGGTGTGGTCATTTAACATATCTATAGCCTTTGGCTGGTCGCTTAGATATGTTAAATAGCTGTGATCATCTCTGAGCCAGGGGAATGGAAGTAACTTCCCCACCAAGACGTGACTGGGGGCAGATCCCCCAAGCTACAGCGCCTGCGCCTGCGCCTGCGCCTGCGTGGGAGCTCGGAGAAGATTGGCTCCAGGACATGGGGCCACACCTGCCCAGACTCATGATGGCAGCCCAGTAAAGCTGGAAGGATATGAATTCTGGCATGTGAAGCTGAGTGTGGGAGGAGTCGGAAATGAGGCTGCAGAGGAAGATTGGCTGAGGGGATTTAAAACCCAGACTTGGCGGCCATTAGGGGAGAGAACCATGCGGCTTTAGCAGAATAGGGAGGACCTCAGCCATTGAGGGAGAACCATGCTGCTTTAGGAAGGAGAACCATGCGCAGCCCTGAGAGAGAGAACCACGAGGCCTGGACAGAGCGGGGACCCCCACAGCTTTAGAAGGGGAACCACCACCTGGTTTTAGCAGAGATCCCAGCGACTCCGCTGAGGGTGCGGGGAACCCAGGGAGGTCTCCCAGTCGAGATGGAGTATTAACTGGGAAGAACCAGAGGACTGCCTGAGCCATGGACTTCTATTTCCTTTCCTGAGATACGGTACTCAGGACTGGGCAAAGGGGGGAAGGAAGGAAGGACTGTGTCTGTTTGTGGGTGTTTTAAGGGACTTTAGGATTTTTGATGAAGACATTAGGTCACTACTTGAAGTCTGTATAGCATTAAATAAACATTTCCTTTCCTTTTCACGAATCTCTGGCATTGAGAGACGTCTTTCCTAGGGCGGCGGACATAACGGACCTGGGGCCTTCTTTCAATAATAGTATATTGTCTCAGGCCCCCCTTGTTGTGTTCTGTAACAAGATCACTACAGCTGTGAAGTCCTAGGCAACCAAGAATAGGGCTTCTGGCAATGCAACTCCCACTTCATATAATAAAAAACATGAATGGCCAGCCACAGTATATCTAAAGCTAGGGAAAGAAAAATGAAAAAAGCATGTGGGTTGGGCTAAAGATAGGTTTCATGAGATTCTAAAACAAAATTGCAATTATTACTGTGTACACTGCAGATTGACAATAGCAAACAGAAAAATGTATTTTTCTGTAAATAGATATGATATGGTATTTTTGAATATGACTATTAGGTTAATTAAGAATCTAAGAAATTATGTTATAAAACATGACCACCTTGGCAAAAGAATTTTAACTTGACTGAGTGTAAAAAGAACTTTTAAACAAAAAAAATTTCCCTTTTATATCTGAGTATGTAATCAATATAATGAGTAAGTATACAATATCTTAAAATAACAATAATGGAATTCAATAGAGTTAATCCTTACTATCAAGTAGTCATTCTTTTGAAAGATGATCAGTGTATAAATATAAATGAAGTCCTGGCTGGTGTAGCTCAGTGGGTTGAGCACGGGCTGCAAACCAAAGGGTTGCTGGTTCGATTCCTAGTCAGGGCACATGCCTGGGTTGTGGGCCAGGTCCCCAAGTAGGGGGTGTGTGAGAGGCAACCACACATTGATGTTTCTCTCCCTCTCTTTCTCCTTCCCTTCTCTGTCTCTAAAAATAAATAATAAAATCTTAAAAATATATATATATGAAATATGTATATAAAGATAAATGTTAAAATAAATGAAATAATCTGTGATATTATTTGTAACATTTTATTCAGAAAGGGAACACATTTATTCCCTACTCCATGTAAAAGTCCTATTCTAACTATATGACTAATTAAAAATAGATTATTGGTGATGAAAAGAACAGAGCTAAGAAAGAACTAAATGAAGTCACTAACTACACAACTGGAAAAATCAGCGTGATGGAGTCCAAGAAAGACCTGGATGAAATAAAGTTACATACACTATTGTTATGTTTCTCATTAGATGTGAGAAAACAATAGAGGCATTCAAGTGAGGGAGGTACAAAAGTGTTGTGAACATGTGTACAAGTATATATTTTAAAAGCATTTAATCATAATTTTAAGAATCAAAAAGTTACAATCCATATGTAAATCTTAGGAAGATTTGTAAGATCTGAAGAACAGTTAGTTTATAAAGTCAACATATTCAGGGACATATATCTATACATATTGTCAAATCTTCCCCAATTTATTAATATCTGACACATGTCATGTTATACCACACACAAAGAAAGACAGGCTCTCCTAGAAGCTCAAGAAAATATGAAGATTCTCTTCCTAGGTAGCTAGGGGAAAATGTTTCAGGTGCCAATGTATTCCTTTTGCATCAAATGAAGCTACTACCTACAGAAAAATCCACTTTAAGTGATAAATTTTGCAAAATTAAGTCTGGATTAAGTGTACACTATTACCATTTGTAACATAATTTACATGGTGAAAACCACTGAGAAGTCATAAAGCTAATTTTAAAAAATAAGTCTTGAGATTAATCTATATAAGCTTGTTCATACTCTCCTTTTCCCTAGAGTCATCTAGATTTTATTGTAAATGCACTGGGCATTGGACTTTAAAGGAGAAGGGATCCAATGTATATTTTGAAGAGATCAACCTAGGTGTTGTGGTAGGAAAGGAATAGAAGGTGTCAAGAGACAAAAGATATGCCAACTAGGCTTTTGCAATAGTACACAGGCAAGAGATGATAGTGGACTGGACTAGAATAGTGGCAGTAGAGAAAGAAATAGAGGGAATAAGAAATAGGACTTGGTGTTATTATATGTGGTTATTAGAAAGAGAGAGAAGTATCAAGAAGGGACCCACTAAATTTTTGGCTCAGGTATCTGGATGGGTGGAAGTAATCATATACTGAGAGGAGGAAAATAAGAGAAGGAATAGCTTTTTATTTGTGGGGAGTGGGTTGAGTTGAGGGAAGACCAGAATTTTTACTTTGGACACCCATGAGGATATGTGAAGCAGGTGACTACCTAAGTATATATCTGAAGTAATCACAGAGATATAAATGTGGAAGATACTGGCACTGAAATGAATGCAAAATAAGCATGAATCTGAGTAGTTTTGTTTTGTTAGTGGTTTTAATTCTATGACTAAAAGAGTACCTGAAACTGTATTTGTCAATAAATATGTTGAATGAATGAATGAAGGGGCATTAAAATGGTACTTAAAGTTAAAGGAGAGTAAGAGATTACCCAGAAAGGGATTTCAGAACTTTTTTCAAAAAGATTTTATTTATTGATTTTTAGAGGGAAAGGGAGGGAGAGAGAGAAGGAGAGAAACACTGACGTGTGGTTGCCTCCCATGTGCCCCCAACTGGGGACCCAGCCCACAACCCAGGCATGTGCCCTGACTGTGAATGGAACCAGTGGCTCTCTGGTTCACAGGCTGGCACTCAATCCACTGAGCCACACTAGCCATGGCAGGGGTTTTAGAACTTTTAAAGATTTAAAAAAACGTGTGTATGTGTGCATGTGGGGGGTGTAGGTAGGTAGGTGTAGAGGAGGAGGGAGAGTTTCAGTAAAGAGAACTGAGGAATAATAGCATGTTATAGAAGGAAAACTAGGATGCTATTCTATCAAAGATGCCCACATAAAAGAGTGTTTCAAAAATAGAGTGGTCACTTCTGTCAGATGCTATTTCGGTTATATAAGATGAGGGAAAGGAAGTGATAACAGTGCACTAGTGGTTGTAACAAGGCTAGGGCACATAATCCACCCTAACATGAAGGAAGGTGGTATGGGTACAGATGTCGGGAAGAAGATAGATTTTGTGGTGGGAATATGAGGAAATACCACTGATAGCCTCTTTTCTCTCAAGGAATTATGAAACAAGTGTCAGACGAGAATGAATATTCAGTAAATGCTATGATGGGGGTAAATAAGGTATTATGGGAGCACAGAGGAGAGGCGCCTAACTTAACATTGACACAGAGTGTAGGGGAGGTTTAAAGGATGAATAGGAATTAATAAGGAGAGGGTAGATAGAAGGAGTAGGAAGAGCACCCCAGACCTGTGCAAATATCTCAAAAGCAAATGAGAAAGGGCATGTTCAGGAAACTGAAAGGCAGAACCTAAGAAGTCCAGGTAGGGACAAGCAAGAGATGAAGTTGGAGAGATAAACAGGTATCAAAATCAAGAAAAGCCTTGTATGCAATGCTAAGGAAACTAAACTTTGTTATTAAGATAATCAGAAGTAGCTACTGAAAAGTATAGAATATATTTTATTTTGGTGGTCTTCACATCAGTTTAGGGTGTAAAGTAAAATTAAGTCATTTTTACATTTAATATCTAAAAGTGGAGAGGCAGCATAGCTTAATGGTTAAGAGTACAAATTCCAGAGCCAGAATGCCTGTGTTCAAAATGCTACTTAGTAGTTGTGTGACCTTGGGCAAGTTATTTAACCTGTGTTTCAGTTTCCTCATTTTTAAGTGGAGGTTTTTAACAGTAAAGGAATAATCGAACCTTCTCAGAGAGCTGTTAATACATTAGTTAATATGGTATTCTGTACATGTTAGCTATTTTCATTTAAGATATAATTTTACCTGCTTTTTAATGGCATAATTTTCACCATCTTCGGCTTTCATTTTTTCAATCTTTTCTTCTTGTTGTTTTGCTTCTTTTTCATACATCATTTTTTCTTTAGCCAATCTATAAAAAGATGAAAAATGTTTTAGAGAATTAACCCTCTCTAGTAAATAGACTGCAAGAAATAAAGAAACTATATAAATACAAAACACACCTAAAATAAAAAAGTATATGTACTAGATGGGGAGTAGGGTAGAAGAAAAATATTTTAGTCACTGATATATGATCATCTTGCCCTTACGTCCTACACCTGCCTAAAGCAAGTGCAATCTATCAAAACATGCAATTCTTAAATTTTTAATTAAAAACATATCCCATTATAATTGTATTACAATGTAAAAAACAACATTTAAAATTATTATGTACTAACATTTCTATTTTTTTGTAATCCTCACCTAAGGGTATATTTATTGATTTGAAAGAGAAAAAGAGTGAGAGTGAGAGAGCGAGAGAAAGAGAAACAGAGATCAGTTGTCTCCCATATGCACTGGAGACTGAACCTGCAATCTGGAAAAATGCTGTGACCGGGAACGAAACCTGAAACTTTTTGGTGTGCAGGATGATGCTCCAACCAACTGAGCCACCCAGTCAGGACTGTCCTGCCTTGTTTTTTTTAATATATGTTTTCCAAACTTTTACACATGTACTTGAAACAATCTAATGTAAAAGCTCCGCCTACTGGAACAAAAAAAAAAAATCAGTATATTGCATGTCAAATCCAAAACAAAGAAAGATTAAATTATTTTCAACAACATAGTTTGACAAGTATTTACTGTACATGTAATTTTATGCACAACCTTCCTGTGCAAGGAGCTGGGAGAGTTTAGACATGGTTCTTTCATGGGCAAGTGGTAGAAACAAACAAGTATTTATTTACTAATGCAGAAAAAGGTACTGCTATCGATCAGGAAGATTTCCAACAATAAAGAATAAAACAATACAAAGTGCTACTGATTATTCCTTGGATAACCAAAATTCAATTAATGATAATAGTTCTATCCCTCCTAATTCTGATTAAATAAATTGTAATATAAAAGAAAAGAAAAGTTCAAGAAAACACTAACATTCCCATATTGACATTATCTAGATAGCAGGAAAAAAGCTCTCATAGTCCATACACATTAAGAGCAGCTTTCTCTATCTGGCTTGCTTACGTCTCTAGACCTGTGTTGCTAGGATGAAAAATAAAAATCATATTAGAGCATGACTTTTGGCTGATCATCTGCAATGAAAATTTTATCAAAACGTGATTTAATTTTCATATTCTAATACGTTAATATAAGTTTGCAAATCTAAAAAAAACCCTTTTATCATACTACCTGGAAGAGTTTTAAGTCAGATCATAAATCTGGATTTAAATCACCACATAAACTACACACTAAATATTAAACTATTAAAATACTCTAGTTTGGAATTTTGAGGTGTTCAAGGCAAGGACCATCCTGTGCCTCATAATCTTGTGTTACTGACATAGATAGAAAGACTACAACAAAATGTTAACAGCATTTACTGTAGAATATTACGTGGCATTCCAACACTCATCATGAAATACCTCAAGCAAAAAACCAAACCACAAGACAGGCATAATTTTTATGTTGCCATGAATATACAAAGGATATTCAAACAAATAACAATGAGCACTTGGGAAACTAGTATTGAGGAAAAAGCCCTAAAACTAAGGATTGATTTGGGATAGGGAAGGTTAGGTGGTTGGTTAATAGGGAGGCTTTCATTTTATGCTTTTCAATAAAGTTTGAGGGTTTTTTTCCCCCATGTATAAGTATTACTTTTATCAGAAAAGTTAGATGCTAATGATTATCTGAGTGGCACGATTTTGAATGATTTTAAAATTTGCTAGTTACTCTGTCATCTATATTTTTAAAATTCTATGGAGGAATGCAAAATTCAATTAGAGAGATACCTGAATATATATAATTCTCTAAACACTGCCCTCCTCTGCACGTTTTGCAAACATTTTAAGTTAAAAAAACAAGTATAAATAAAAAGTCATAATTTATTATATTTTAAAGGCATATTAACTAGAAATGTTTTCCATTAGTTTTGGAAACCCATACCTCACAGAGAAACACAGCAACTTCATATCTGGCCAAGATGGAAGCATAGGTAGACACATTGTGCCTCCGTGCGTAACCAAAATAAGGATACAAAAATCTAGAAACAAACAAACAAACAAACAAAACAACCAGTACTGACAGAAAATTGAACTGTATGGAAGTCCGACAACCAAAGAGTTAAAGTAGACACATTCATCCAGACCAGTAGGAGGGGTAGAGCCCAGCGGCCAGGTGGAGACCGGTCACTGCAAAAAAAGCTGTGGCTGGCAGACCCCGGGGGCATGTGTGCCGGCAGCGGGCAGACCCAGCAAGGTGACAATTACGGAGTGGGGAGCGGCGCGCAAGGCAGCTGGCGGACCAGGTAGTACCACATCCGCGCAAAGATAAACCAGGCGTAACTAGGGAGCGAGACAGACCACGCAACCCGGGGCTCCTGTGCAGGGAAATAGAGCCTGAAAACACCGATTGAAAACATCTGTAGGGGTTGAGGTGCTGGGAAAGACTCCCAGCCTCATTGGAGAGTTTGTTGGAGAGACCCACAGGGTCCCAGAACATACACAAGCCACCCACAGGGAAATCAGCACAAGAAGGGCCCAGTATGCTTGGGGGAAGAGGCAGAAGGGACTGAAATTTGGCAGAAAGCAGAAGAAGCGCCATTGTTCCCTCTGGGACTCCTCCCCCATATAGTGTCAAACACAACGTGCATTGCCCCACCCCAGTGAATACCTAAGTCTCCGCCCCTCACATATAACAGGCACCGTCCCCAATACGTATAACAGGTGTTATAAAAGGCGTGTCAAGACAAAAAAAAAAAATGGCCCAAACAGAACAGATCAAAGCTCCAGAAAAAATACAACTAAGCAACGAAGAGATAGTCAGCCTATCAGATGCATAGTTCAAAGCACTGGTGATCAGGATGCTCACAGAATTGGTTGAATTTGGTCACAAATTAGATGAAAAAATGAAGGCTACACTAAATAAAATAAAGGAAAATATACAGGGAACCAACAGTGATGGGAAGGAAACTGGGACTCAAATCAATGGAGTGGACCAGAAGGAAGAAAGAAACAACCAAACAGAAGAGAATGAAGAAACAAGAATTCAAAAAATGAGGAGCTTAGGAACCTCCAGGACATCTTTAAACATTCCAACATCTGAATTATAGGGGTACCAGAAGGAGAAGAGGAAGAGCAACACATGGAAAAGTTATTTGAACAAATAATAAAGGAGAAGTTGCCCAATCTGGCAAAGGAAATAGATTTCCAGGAAATCCAGGAAGCTCACAGAGTCCCAAAGAAGTTGGACTCAAGGAGGAACACACCAAGGCACATCATAATTGCATTACCCAAGGTAAAAATGAAGGAGAGAATTCTAGAAACACCAAGAGATAAGAAGACAGTAACCTACAAAGGAGTTCCCATCAGACTGTCAGCTGATTTCTCAAAAGAGACCTTGTAGGCAAGAAGAGACTGGAAAGAAGTATTCCAAGTCATGAAAGGCAAGGACCTACACCCAAGATTACTCTATCCAGCAAAGCTTTCATTTAGAAGGGAAGGGCAGATAAAGTGCTTCTCAGAAAAGGTCAAGTTAAAGGAGTTCACCATCACCAAGGCCTTATTATAGGAAATGTTAAAGGGATTTATCTAAGAAAAACATAAAAAAATATGCATAGGAAAATGACAGCAAACTCACAATTATTAACAACCACACCTAAAACAAAAACAAAAACAAAAACAAGCTAAGCAAACAACTAGAACAGGAACAGAGCCACAGAAGTACAGATAACACAGAGGGTTATCAGTGGGGCAGTGGGAGGGGAGGAGAGGGGGAAAAGGTACAGAGAATAAGTAATATAGACGGTAGGTAGAAAATAGACAGGGGGAGGGCAAGAATAGTATGGGAAATGTAGAAGTTAAAGAACTTATAAGTATGACACATGGACATGAACTAAAGGGGGGAATGTGGGTGGGGGAGGGTGTGCAGAGTGGAGGGGAGTGAAGGGGGAAAATGGGACAACTGTAACAGCATAATCAATAAAATATATTTAAAAAAGTAAGGAAACACAGCAACTTCAAAATCTCAAAACTTTTAGTAGTTAGGCAAATAAATACGTAAGAGAAAAAATACATAAGAGCAATAGAAAAAGATAAACATCAGAAGGAGAAATATTAAAAAATTACAATGATCAGGGTAATGATAATCAAATGATACCTTAAAACTACTCAACTGTAAATATATGACAGAATGTGATTTAAAATATATAGTCCAGTGTTTACCAAACTATTCCATGGAACACTAGTGGTCAAATAAGCTTAAATCTTACTGCAGGTCAAATCTTAAAGATCTAAGAAGTCTTTTTCTTTTTCTTATTTTATGTTTTTTTTAGAGAGAGGGGAATGGAGGGAGAATGAATGGGACAGAAACATCCACCTGTGAGAGAAACTCTGATTGGTTGGCTCTTACAAGCCCAACCAGGGACCTGGCCCATAACCCAGGCATGTGCCCTAAGAATCGAACTGGCGACCTTTTGGTTCACAGGCTGGCGCTCAACCCACTGAGCCACAGCAGCCAGGGCTGAGAAGTTTTTTAGAGTAAGGAAGTTAGTTTAACTTTGTTCAATTATAAGCTTACTTGGAGCAAAACTTTTTTCTCTTTCAGCATTTTTCAGAACAGCTGTCCCTCGATACAAGTTTGAAGGTTCTATGGGCACCCAACCTGCGGCCTGTGGGCCACAGGCAGCCCAGGCTGGCTGTGAATGTGGCCCAACACAAAATCATAAATCTACTTAAAACATCATGAGATTTTTTTGTGTGTGTGATTAAGTGTCACAAGGTATTTAATGAATGGCAGAGGGCCATTCATTACACTCCACTCCATGGCACTATACTGTATTTAATGTTGTCTTACTCTTCTTCCAGTGTAGTGCAGAGATGTCAAAAGGTTGGACACCCCTTTACACAAATTTGCATATATCACATTTAAATATAC